GGAAGAGCCACACTCAAGGGGCCAAAGAGCCGCAGTTTGCCGACCACGGCCCTAGGAGATGTATCGGTAAACATATTGCTATGAGAGATGTCTGAGATTTTTTTGCCTCTGGTTTCTTCTAAGATTTTTATGGTTTCATGACTTACATGTAAGTCTTTTATCCATTTTGAGTTTATTCTTGTGTATGGTGTAAGTTGGTGGTCTAGTTTCATTTGTTCGCATGTATCTGTCTAATTTTCCCAACACCATTTATTGAAGAGACTGTCTTGACTCCATTGTATGCTTTTGCCTCCTTTATCAAATATTAATTGAGTTTAATGGCTTGAGTTGATTTCTGGGATCTCTGTTCTGTTCCATTGATCTATATGTCTGTTCTTGTACAAGTACCAGGCAGTTTTGAGAACAGTGGCTTGGTAATATAGCTTAATATCTGGTATTGTGATCCCTCCAACTTTGTTCTTCTTTCTCAGGATTGTTGCAGCTATTCAGGGTCTTTTTTTTATTCCAGATGAATTTTTGGAGAGTTTGTTCTAGATCTTTGAAGTCTGTCATTGGTATTTTAATGGGGACTGCATTGAATCTATAGATTGCTTTGGGTAGTATGGTCATTTTAATGATGTTGGTTCTACCAATCCATTAACACCGTATGTTCTTCCATCTGTTTATGTCTTCCTCTATCTCTTTTTTCAATGTCCTGTAGTTTTCCGTGTACAGGTCTTTTACCTCCTTAGTTAAGTTTATTCCTAGGTATCTTAATTTTTTTGGTGCAATGGTAAATGGGATTTTTTGTTTGTTTGTTTCTCTTTCTGTGAGTTCATTATTGATGTATAAAAAGGCCATAGATTTCTGGGTGTTAATTTTGTATACTGCTACATTGCCGAATTCATGTATTAGGTCTAGTAGTTTTTTGATGGAGTCTTTGGGTTTTTCTACGTATAGTATCATGTCATCTGCAAATAAGGACAGTTTTACTTCTTCTTTTCCAATTTGGATGCCTTTTATTTTATCTTCTTGTCTGATTGCTATGGCTAGCACTTCCAGTACTATATCAAACAGGAATGGTGAAAGAGGGCATCCCTGTCTTGTTCCCATTCTCAGGGGAAATGAGTTTAGTTTTTGCCCATTGAGTATGATGTTGGCTGTAGGTTTGTCATATAAGGCTTTTATTATGTTGCGGTATGATCCCTCTATTCCCACTTTTCAGCAGGTTTTATTTTGGGTGGTAGATTCATAAGTACTTGTCTTATTATTAAATAAATAAATAGACCATTGATGGAGCAATTGTGAGAGTGCATCATGAATCAGGCATTGCGCACTGGAGTTTACAAAAGAAAGGTAGAAAGAAATCAATGAAGGAGGGAAGGAAAGAGAAGGAGAAGTGGGATGGACAACTAGGGTTGAGGGAACACAAAGACTGAGATTAGATATCATTGTTATGAGATTTCCTTTTAGCAGCGCTTGGCTATCAGAGAAAGGGTACGAACTGGGTTCATTCAGGGCTGGCAATTGTTCAGTGTTTGCAGTGGGAGGCCCACAGCATGAAGCATAGTGGATTGCAGCTGAGGCCAAATCTATGCCGACAACCCCGGGAGCTGGGGCAGTCTGGCTGTGGAGCAGCCAAAACAGGACTTTGAGAGACTATCTCTGGTGATTGGGGTGTTGTTGTTGTGGGTTTGGAACGCATTATTGGAGAGATTGCCATTGGGCACTCCCTCAGAGAGGGGGTGGGGCATGGAGTGAGTCACAGAAGGCTTGAGGAAGTAGGTGGAATTGAGGATCTGAGCCAGGAAGGGGCTGAGCCTTCCACAGGGACTCAGAATGGAGAGGTAAAGAACATCAGCTTGGTTCAGATCCCACTTCTTCCACTTTTGGTTGTGACTTTGGGCAAGTTCCTTATTCATCTGCTCCAAGGCTCATTTCCCTGATTGCAAATAAGGTAACTCTTACCTCATAGAGTTTTCCTAAAAATTAAATAAGATAATGTATGTAAAAGATACGGTATCTTAAGAACTCAAATGTTGGCTCTAAAACAATCAATCTGCTTAGCAAATGAGTTCAAAAGCAAACACATCCTTAGAGAGAAGCTAAATCTGAGTGGCAGGAGCACACAGGGCAGGGCAATCTGGAAGCTGGAAGGGAGGACAGCCAGACAGAGGGACACGGTAAAGCCGGAAGCATGGCTTATTTACCACCCTGCTGGAATACTGCAGGGGTACTCCCTCTTTCACATTTGTTCTTGCTCAAAAGCAAAAGGAGCCTATGTGGTGACGAATGTACAAGTAACCCTACTGCACCAGAACCCAGTCTCATTTCAATACTATGGATTGGAGGGTTTTTCATTACACAGGCCACATGATATGATGACTGTCCAACCCTCCTCATTCATTTCTGTGTTTGCTCAAGGCTAGCTTCCTTCCACTTAAAAAAGCAGTCATCCCGGGAGAAATAAATCTCTCCATTGCTTTTATGGCGTTCTTGGGATCTGAAATCAGTACTTTGTGAAGTTGTCTGTCTTGGATTATCTGTATTGTCTTTTTTCCCTTAGGTGTTTTTGGGGGGGGGGGGGGGGGGGGGGAGAGAAAGGGGGAGTGAGAAGTAGTTTTTTACTTTGTTTTTCTAGCTCTGTCATCTAAGTAAAGCCCTTTTTAAAAATGTTAGCCTGTGCCCTAACCGGTTTGGCTTAGTGGATAGAGCATCGGCCTGTGGACTGAAGGGTCCCAGGTTCGATTCCAGTCAAGGGCATGTACCTTGGTTGTGGGCACATCCTCAGTAGGTGGTTTGCAGGAGGCAGCTGATCGATGTTTCTCTCTCATCTATGTTTCTAACTCTCTATCCCTCTCTGTAAAAAATCAATAAAATATATTTTAAAATGTTAGCCTGTGTGAAGACATCACTGCAAAAAAGGAATGAGAAAAGTTGTCTCTATAATTGATCTGGATACTCTCAGTTTCCAAGTATGGCCAGAGCAGTGAGAATAAAGGGACAGAAATCTCATAAAGATGAAAATACAGCAGTAAAAGGCCATTTGTGCAGCTGTTCTCACCTGCCATGACTGTCTGATTCAACCCCTCTTACCCTCCCTCTGGCTTTATGTGGATCAGGGGTTGAGGGTTTTCCCCTTTGGGGGGCTGGCTGATAGGAGTGTGGCTGATGAGAGTAGAACTAGGGAGCTGGAGTAGAACTCAAGAACTGAGACAACAGCCTAAGGCTGGCTTTTGTCATAGTTTGCTCATTTCCTTCTTAACAGGACTAACAGGCTGTATTACCTTTCCATTCAGGTATGAAAGCTTCTGAATTCTTTCATTGTATTTGCTTACGACCACAGCCCCAAAGTTATCTAACTATAGTTGCCTACTCTCAGCGTTCCAGGTGTGATGCCTTGGCCTCCGCATTTTGAAGATATCACCTTTGCTGCCCAGTCCCTTCCGTGTGGTTTACCACCTCCACGGTTCCAGAAAAATATGATGGTGAGCCATCTGGGTGAAAATCCAGTGAGAAAGTGGAGCCAGAGAGGGTGGAGGACAATGATTTCCTTCACTCTGATCCCGTCTTCCTTTGGGACCAAAATATTCTCCCCTCCTTTATAAAAGAGGGGAAGAAAGAGCAAGCCAGTCAGACTGGTATGGCCAAGGTATTTTTTTATTCCCCAACAACCTCATTGCTGCCTCCTAGTGAAAGTTTTAGAATTGAAAAAAAGACCATTTACTGGGGAGGATTTGGGGGATGAGGGGAAGAAAATGAATTTGCACAGATTCACAAACTGTTTCTGAGAGTATCTCTGCCTGTCAGTTTCTATTGGATATATTTGTGAGCACAGGTGTATCACTGTGGCCACAAGGAGAATACAGAACCCACGCAGACGCTACCGATCAAGGTACACTTTTCTGTGGGAGCTCGCAATCAAGAGTTGCCAATAAAAAGCCCAACAGACTTATAGTTCTCTTTCAATGTATTTCTCGTTCACTATTCACTCACACAGGGTATTCTCTTTCCCCTATCTTGGTGTTTTTCACCTTTAGGTAAAAACTGCATAAGAACAAAAGTATAATATTACGTTTATTCAAACATAAAATCTGTGGCAATATATGCTGGCACATAAAAAAGAGAAGGCACGGAACTTACCTTGTGGGAAGCTCAACCAGACTGAGGCAAGAGGCGTGAGGTTGGTTAATAACAGCAGTGCCCGCTGCCTTCCTTTCATGCACAGCTTACTGTGAGGACCTTGCCTTGGTTGGCAAGAGTTTAGGCCAAGAATATTGGTCCCCTAAAAACTGAAATCAAAAACCAAATCTCTTCTATTTTGAAATGTGTGCGATTTTATTTGGTGAACAGACAAACAAGCAGACCAACAGCCATTTTCTTTTTAGGTATGAAAAGCACCTTTGTTTTGCACAGGTTAACATTCTTGGATTGAAGAACTTTGAAATTTTGTTTATTTAGTATCACTAAACCGTCGATATTGCACAATTTACAAAACTACCAAGGACGCATATGTGTTTTATTTTTATACACTATTGCACAGATAAGCATACATTTCAATCACATGTACAAACCTTTCTTTCCATTGTAATAGTGCATTGCAATATTTTTTTAACTTACACTTGAAAGGAGTATATTATAATTTAACTAACCAGTATAAAATATCTTTTCTCAATCCTTATCCTTTTGTATATGTCAAGATAATTTTTATGATTAGACACAACTGTGTTCACAATGTTTAGTGACTAACAGTGTTTCATATCTTTCATCCCCATGCATATGGTCTTCGTATAGCAGTGGATCATATTTTGTCTCAAAACTACTATACAAGTTAGTAGGTTAAAAGCTCAGAGTGGATAATTTTGTAGTTTATCATCACAAAACAGTATATTTACTATTCTAGTCAGTGTAATTACACCTGCTAGTGTTTTAATGTTGCTCCACCGAGTCTGTGAATGACAGAGTGTCTTTAGAGAGCCTGTAAAGGAATATGGTTCTAGAGAAATCAGTCCAATTGTTGTAGCAATACAAGGGCATAACTGATACAAAGTAAACATTTGTAAATGTGATAGCTTAAGAAAAATACAGACTCCTACACATTTCACTGCTGATTTCCATTTCTAAATTAAAGCAACAATCTCTGTTCTATTTATTAGAATGAGCAATAAAACAAGCCCACCTCTTAATTTTTATTTAAGTCCATAACTTCAATCAATGCTCTGGGTCTGTGTTTGTTTGTGTATGAGTTGAACATATATCACAGGGAAGACATGAAGAATCAATCACTTACAGAACTTCCTACCGGCTGGCACACACCACAGGGCTAGGTAAAATCCAAACAGCCAAAGAAAGAAGGCAAGCAAGTTCTCCCTGAAGGACAGGACAACTTATGAATGAAACTCCCACACTGATCATGTTCTAAGTATGCTGCAGTGTACCAAGAAGTGAGAAAAATATGCAAACAAAATCATGCTGGATTTTTGCATCATGTCAACTATAAAGAAAAAAAAACTGCTCTTAAGAAAAGTGTGTTTAACAACATAGAAATATTCCAGAATGTCGTGATTGGCATGTTTCACTTTTTTTCTTTTATAGAGAAACATTCTATATTTCTCTTTTATTTTGAACGCCTTCACCCACACTCTGCATTTAAGTGAGATACTGTAAGCTAACTGTACCTTAAAGAGATCAGCATATAGATGGCTCTGACGACCGGAATAGAAACAAAACAAAACACCCAGAATTTTTTAAAAAGTTGAACAGTCAGCCAAGGGTGCCTAAAAGGTTGCCAAGAGCATGCTCAGTCCCTCCTCGGTTATTTTTCACATTACTACCTCTGACTGCGTGCGTCACCGGTGCAAGAAAATGCGGGAAGCCTCTGTTCCAAGTAACATCTGAACATCCAAGGAAAATGAGCACATTCTTGCTAGGAAAAGTCTCCAAAATTTTCTAGGGTGCATCCGCGAGACTCTCCCTGGTGCGCTCCTCCTTCCTCTGGGCAGAGGTTCCCGGAGCCTCGACCAGTGCTGCTCCGGCTGGCCAGGGTAGCAGGGATGACTCCGGGGGTTGCCCACGCCAAACAGCGCGCAGACTCCGCGGCGCATCCCGGCTCTCCACTTGCTCCCAAGTGAAAAGCGGTGGGAGGAGGAGTAAGGAGGAGGGAGGAGGAGGGAGAGGTAAAAGGGATCCTGTTGAATTCGAGGTCCTGGGGGTGTGGGAGCGGGAGGAGGCTCCTCTGGTCCCTCCTCCCTCATGGAGTCCTGGGCTCCACCTCCTCCACATGCCCCCAGATATACACACACTCGGCCGCGGCTGGACATGCACTCCCAGCGCCGGCTCCGGGCGCGCGCACACGCAGGTGGCGAC